AGTCAAAGCAAGGGCAGGCAGTTCGCCCAGATGGTCCCTGGGGTGCTGCCCCCAGGGGCCCGAGAGCTGTCAATCACAGCCGCAGAAAAGGCTTAGGGGGACCTTCAAAGCTGCTGAATTGACTGCACTGCTGCAAAGCCAATGAGTTTCACAGGCAGCCGAGCAGAGGGCCTGCAAGGCAGGGGGCTCCAGCCCTTAAAGAGATGAGAGGGCTGCAAAGTGTGAAAACATCTGAACCAGCTTCTGTGGCCGCAGCTGCAAGGCCCGGGCAGGGGCCATTCACAGCCAGGGGGCCCTCGCCACCCCCTCTGCATCCAGCTGTGAAATCAGCATGGGAACCCCAATGACTGATCAAAGGTCCAGCTTCCACAGGATGGCTGCTCCCGACCCACCGACCCACCGGAGTGGGAATGGCGCTGGGATGGGATAGGGAGGGCGAGGAGGCACTTGGAGGAATGGATCGGTCTGGCCTCCCTAACATGCTGGCCCAGCTCAGCCTCCCTGTGACAGAAAAGGTAGGATAGCATCACCTTGACCCCCAATCTCCTAGCACAGTTTCTTGGGGTTCTGGACACCATTCTCCTCATCCGTGGGCTGCAGAGGGGTGGAGGGGATGGATGAACACAGCTTTTGCCCAAGGATCCCAAGGAGATAATTGACGTCTGACATGAGCTCCCCGGACAGCCCTGAAGTCCTAACTTGTGTGCCCCGCCTCCCTCTGGTCACCAATGAGGCCACATCCTTGAGGAACTGCCAAACCCTTTCCACATCACCCACCATCAAGTCATGCTACATACGCACCTACCTACCTACCCTTCAACTTGTTCCTAAACTGTCAACTGAGTGCCCTCATTCACAGGGGCTGTGCCTGGTGGGTGAGGCCGACCCCACCACGGTTCCTGCTTTCTAGTCTAACGCTCATGCAGCCCCATGTGCTGGGGCCGTGCAGACAGAGGAAGACCGAGCCCTAAATACACACACAACTAGACCAGATGCAGGATTTGTCTTCCCACAAGCCAAGGGCAAAGATATCTGAGGAACAGTGTGTATGTGTGTGCGTCTGAGGAAGCGTGGGGGTGGGTTTTTGTGTGTGGGTAAGGTGAGGGTGGAGGAGGTGGTAAGTCCAGAGGGTTTCCTGAAATTGCCAGTGGAGGTACCAGAGGGAGAACTTTGCTTGGCCAACGAGGTTGCATGTGGAATGAATGTTACAGGAAATGGGAGAACTTGAAGGACCTTTCAGAGGTGGAGAGAGAGCGCATGAATGAGGGGGTGTATGCCTAGAAGGAGCAAGAGGGCCGCTGTGTCACCACGAGGATTCTGGGAGGGAGCGACAGTAGAGAATGTAGTAACTTGGAGAGTTCCTTAGAACCGGGGTGCTGGGCTATGGCAGGAGGGCTGGGGGTGGGGGGGTCCCGGTGGCAGGTGGCAGGGATGCGGAAGAACAGAAGCGGTGAGCGGAGGCCCACACACCTAGTTCACATGTCTCCCGAGAGACAATGTTTTCATGGGACAAGCATCATAGAACTGCAGGCGCCCAGGTGACACACCCCTGCTCTCAGGGAGGTCTGTGTGGACCAAGGGCCCAGCTACCTGGAAGGAGGTGAGGCGCTGGGTTAGACAGCAGCAGGGGTGCGACCCTGGTGGAACTTACCAGAAAGCCCCGGCAGGAAGAAGCAGGCCACAGGATGTGTCCAGTGGTCGCTGCTTTAGCACTTTCTAAGCGTAAGGTCTGCCTGTAGTGCACAGTAAACACAGAGTGACATCCTCACGAGTAATCACGAGTTGCCCCACGTTGGGCTGAAATGGGCTGAGGGGTGGGGGCTGAATGGCCATCGCCCACGTGGTGAGCCCCATACAGCGAATGCTGCTCTATGCAAATGGGAGGAGAGAGGAAGCCTCCTCCATGCTAATAACTTTATTCCCTAAACTTCAAAAATGAAATTGCCAGGTTAAAAACTTGCCTTGAAAAAAATTTCTAATTTATTATAAAGAAGGTCCGGGGCTTGGGAATTTTGCAATGCAGATTCCTAATTTTCCAAAGTGAGGTCCTCCTGTGCATTGGCGTAGATTATGCTCGGCTCCGCTTGCCCTCAGCGCTACGGGAACGTTATTAAAACGGCTGCCCCGGTCTCAGGAGGGGCGCTGCCTCTCGCTTCCGTTCTCGTTTGGGGGACTTTGTCAGATGCTGCCCTTTTCGACAGTGTCAGGAATTGGGTTTCTGAGAGGCGACCTAGAGATGTGCTCAGCTGTGCAGCCCTGGAGGAGACAAGTCAGACTGGGTCCGACAGTAATGAGATGAGACCTCCCGGAAGGAGGAGGAGGTGGGCATCCTTCCAGAGGCCCTCGTGTGCCCGAGCCCTGCCCCCCCTGGCCCCGGCTTTCCTGAGGACACAGCGCCAGAGAGCAGCTGGCGCTCGCAGATAATGAGCACCGCGGGGCAGTGCGGCAGGGCCTCCCCTGAGAAGCGGGATCGGCCTTCTGCAATCCTGGTGGGAAGAAGGCAGGGGGACCAGAGCAAGTTCCCCGCAGGAAACCCACATGGAAGACATTCCTATGGGCAAGCCACTCTCAGCAGCCCCGAGAGTGGGGAGGAGGGCCCCCCAAAAGCCAACTGGCCTCAACGTTTAGCACTCCTCACAGACTATGTTCCCTATGAGCCCATGTTCTGGCGACCTCAACCCCTCTGCCCTCCCACCTACTCCACTGCTGCCCTAACTCTTCCCCCCCCCCACCCCCATCCTGATGGTTTCCTTGGGAACCAGCCCAGCCCAGGGAAGCCCATGGCAATCTCGCTATAGCCCAGTGTCCCAGCCAAGGCCATAAAGACACCAGACCTTGGGCTAGTCTCTACTATGGATGCTGAGCTTTCCCGTCAGATTCTTCAGCCCTGGATCTCTGAGGTCACAAAGAGGTGTGTGGCTTCCCCAGGCAAATTATCCTCCTTCCTTCTTTCCTTCTTTCCATCTTTCCATCTTTCCATCTTTCCATCTTTCCATCTTTCCTTCCTTCCTTCCTTCCTTCCTTCCTTCCTTCCTTCCTTCCTTCCTTCCTTCCTTCCTTCCTCTCTCCCTTACTTCCTCCCTTCCTACCTCTCTGAGAGTAGTTTAATGGTGAAATACTGGTGAGTCCTCAGAGGCCATAGCACGGGGACAGTCCCTGTTGGGGAATTGGAGCTTGAATTTCTCACCCAAAAGGCTACACCAGCTCTGTGGTGGCTTCCAGAGCGCCTCAGGGCCACTGCCCCACCCCCACCCCCTCCGCCAGCAACTGGGATTTGTTAAGCTCAGCTCTGTGCTGAGGCTCCTCTACTTAACTACTCTCAGATCAGCATTCTTGGGCAGCACAGGCCCTTCCTGCAGCCCTCCTGCTAATCCCCACCAAACTCAAACTTCGCCCAGCTGCCGGGGCAGCAAAACAGGCTGGGGAGAGGCAGCTGCTGCCAGCTGCCAATGCAGTGCCCTGGACCTCCTGGCCCACCCGTCAGCCCCTGAGCCTTGGGTATAGCGGAGAGGACCTTTGTGCCCACCATCTGCTAAACACAGGAAGTGCCCCATTGCCATGCTCGTTGCTACTGTGGCCCTTAGAGAGCAACCTCCGGACAAATTCCTGCTCTTTACCAATACCCCGGCCCCAGCAATGCCTGTGTCTACCGAGAAGAAGGTTGTCCCCATTGCGGGCCTGGTTTCCAGGGCTCCCCTAGTCTAAGCCTCCTGCTTCCCACGCCCTCTGCAGAGGGAAAGGGCCGACTGTGGCTCACCCGGAAGCATTCACACAGCAATCTGTGTCAATGCCAAGGGCAGCCTGCAGTCATTCACGAAAAGCTACTGCCATGGGCCCAGTGCTTGCTGGGTATGAGTGCAGGGCAGGGAGACTAGGAAGGAGCATGGAGTCGATGCGTGGGGGCAGGGTGGGGACAAGGACACGTCCTGGCCGGCTGGTGGATGCCCAGTGCTCTTGCACTTTTGCAGGCTGAGGAGTCAGTGGTGGCTGGCTTGCTAGACACCCTGCAAAGTGCAGTTTCCGGGGGATACCAGGATGGCTAGCATAACCGCTAGAGCTCACACTAAACTGGGGGAGCCAGGGCCTGCCCTGTGTCTGCACCCTAACCCCTTCACGCTGCCCAGCCCTGGGCTGTCCACGAGGACAGCCGTGTTTGAGGTGTCTGATGCAGGGATGCCAGGGCAGGGCAATGACAGGAAGGAGTGAGAAATGCTGCCTGGCACACAATAGGCACTCACGACACATTTGCTCCATGAATGAATGAATGTTCTGACTGGCTGCATTTCACATGACAGACATATGATAAATAATTATCAAATTGATATTGACTGGTGAGACCAGGCTAGAGAGAACAGGACAGTGTGAAGGTCACGGTCAGAGGGTGGAGGCTGCTGTGGAAGCACAGCATCGTGGCTAACTCAGAGCCTCGGAGAATGAGGTGTGGGAGGCACCGGGGGGCAAAGGTTAGAAGCGATCAGGGCAAGGCCTACAGGAGCCCAACCAGGAAGCTGGGCCAGGCTTCCAGGAGCCGAAGAGGGACGAAGAGACCAGGAGGAGAAGCTGGAGTCTCCGAGGCCCCCGGGGACTGCAAGCAGAGGGAAGGGTTGCAGGGCGTAGAGAGACAGAAGCGGAGCACATCCTGAAGAGAAGGGAGATTCCTCCAATGGGCAGGCAGAGAAGGTGGATATAGGGGCTCCGGTGATCATGACAAAGTGCTGGTCTAAAAGGGCCTCTAATTTAAAAGTTTCCCCAAACACTCAAAGGCAGGCTCAGTTTACCAAATTATTCCTGGTTTGGAGCATTTGTCTGATGTCTGCTGTGAGCGGGGAGTAAGAGCTGACCCCCGTGTCTGTTAAATGCAATGACCTCCCTTCCAGTGTTTGCCGAGCTCTCTCCAGCGAGGCCTCCCCAGGCTGGCCAGGGAAGAGCTCAGACCCACCAGGCCCTGCCCTCGGCCCCTGGAAGGCACGCACCCCTCCCATCGGTTGGTGGACACTCACCTGTGGACTGTCCTGGTAGGGTGGGGGAGGGACATTTTGCGTGGCCATCATCGTCAGAGCTGGGGCTGGGGAGGCATGTTGCATCATGGGATTGATTCACATCAAGGATCTGTGGCAGGAGAAAGGGGGCCACACGTTAATACTGAGCACAGGGAGCCCGGGAACCAGCAGGTGGGCATCTCCTCAGGCTGGGCCACCTGGACTGACCAGACACTGCAAGGGGTGAAAGCCCACGAGAGGCCTGGGAGGGGCTTGCTGAGAGATTTGACTTGAAAGAAACAATATTCAAATCAGATGTAAAATAACCTGTAAAAGCCATGCTTATCTCAGCATCAGCTGGGGTTGGGGCTTGAAGGGAGCGTGGGGGTTGGGGGGCAGAGGCTTGGCTGGAGGCAGCACAGGGGGAGTGGGGTTGTTCGGGTGCCCACAAGTCAAGGTGCTTTCCCTGTCCCAGGCCTTCAGAGCAGCCACCTGCACTGCCAGGGCAGGGAGGCCTCAGGCCTTTGCCCTTCAACTCCAGTTCCCACCTCTCTGCTGGCTCCTGCTCCCGGGTGTGCTCACCACACCCCCTAGTGGTGGGAAAGGACGTGGGGCTCTGGTCCCCTTAGACCAGTGGTCTGCAAACTGCAGCTCTCGAGCCACATGCGGCTCTTTGGCCCCTCGAGTGTGGCTCTTCCACAAAATACCACGGCCTGGGCGAGTCTATTTTGAAGAAGTGGCGTTAGAATAAGTTTAAGTTTAAAAAATGTGGCTCTCGAAAGAAGTTTCAATCATTGTGCTGTTGATATTTGGCTCTGTTGACTAATGAGTTTGCCAACCACTGCCTTAGACAGGAGGATGGAGGAAGCAGCGTGTGTGTGTGTGTGTGTGTGTGTGTGTGTGTGTGTGTGTGTTTCTAGGTGTGTGTGTGTGTGTGTGTGTCTATCACCTGTGGGTTTTTCTAGGTGTGTGTGTGCCTATCACCTGTGGGTTTTTCTGGGTGTGTGTGTGTGTGTGTGCGCTTCAGGACTTACAGAGGTGCCTGCCCATTCTAGGAAGGGAGACTTTCCTTGGGCTTCGTTCAACACAGGGTCAGAGCCCAACGGCCATCCCCCTTCTTACAGCTGAGGAGATGGAGGCCAAGAGGAGTGAGGTGTGTGTTTGGGGAGCTGGGTGCTAGCAAACAGGAAAGGGACCCGAGTTTCCAGATTCCCAGTTCCTGGTCTGCTCTACTGTGTCCCTGACCCCCACCCCACAATGACAAGCAAGCTGACCCCATTGGGCCTCAAGATTTCTTCTTGAACCAGAAGCAGCTGCTGTAAGGGGAGACAGCCTAGCCGGGCAGTGCCACCCAGGGTAACAGGATGCCCAGAGAGCTGTGTGGCTCAGAAAATGCCCTGAAATATTTAGAGCTAGAAACCACAGGCATGTCGCTGTGAGGCAAGAACCCCTATGGGAGGCAGGCCCTGTCCTCCCAGGTGGAGGGTGCTGATGGCCAAAGATGGTTGTGGGCACAACCTCAGACATCCTTCTCTTCTCCTCCTCTCCCTGAGCCCCCCTCCTCAGGGCCTCCCAAAATGTCCCATGCCTGAATTCTGGGGGGATGTGAGGGTGTTCTGGAGCTGCCTAAGTAAAGAGGAGGGTCTCTAGGGTGCTATGCGGCATGCATGTGTATGCATGTGCATTTGTGTACATGCATGAGTACATGTGTGTGCATTGGTTCTTTTCCAGGAAGAGGAGGAACTATCAATTCTGGCTGACCTGTCTCTGGAGGCATGCTTTGACCTTAAGCGCATGTGGGAAAGCACCGGAAACCCAGGTATTCATTCAAACAATGCTGCTAAATGTCAGCTGTGTGCAGGAGCGGTGCTGGAGGGTGTGGAAGCTCTCTTTGGACCCTGAGGGAATGAAGGAATATGGATGGGGGGGGAGGTTCAGCCTTTCCTGGAACTCTGGAAGATGAGGTACATTTTGATGGGTCTGTGGTCCCAAAGGCAAAGGCGGAGCCCTTCCGGGAACACCAATTTGAAATGCTTCTTTGCTGGAAGAAAGTGAGCCTCTGTGGGCTGCAGTGCCAGTAGCCTCCAGCAGAGGGAGTCTGGGGGCAGAATCTGGGGTGAGAGCTCAACAGGCAATTTTAGGGGCAACTATTCCTGGATGAAAAAAGTCATAGAGAAGGCAAAGCGAAGGAAGTGCATTGAGGAGGATTTGGGCTAAAGAGAGAACCTTTTCATCTGATTCTTTTGTTCACTGTCCAGTGAATGAGAGGTCAGATCCGCTGTCCCTAGAAATATTCACACAGTTTGAGGGCTGCCCTGCCTGGGGGTAAGGAGGGGTGGTTAGGGGTGATCTGCTCCCAGAAACAACCACGGTCAGGCTGAGCAGAGACTGCCCAGTCCAGAGGCTGCCAGACCGTGGAGCAGGAGCCAGCCCTGCCTCGGAGGACACAGGAAAACTGTCCCGAGGATGCAGATGGCCTTTGCCCCTCCTCCTTCCCCTCCCCCTCTCTGGGGTCACCACAGGCCACTAGACCACTGCCCCATTGCCCTCTGGGCTTCTCCTGCGAGAGAACAGAAGGCCTTTTCATCAGGGGCTTAAGTTTCCCTCTCTGCTCACTCAGGCGCAGCGCCCTGGTAACCTGAGTGAGGGGGACAGGAGAAGGTGCCACCTTCTCTTCTTCACTGGCCCCCACCACACAGACACTGCCCGTCCCGGGGACAGCCTGCTGGCCAGGCCTGGGGCCAGGGGGGAGGGCTAAGCGGGTCCACCTGGAGAGGGATGTCGGGGCCTGCTTTTTGGTGCCAGGGCCCCACAGCTGGGGTGTGGGAGCTCCTTGGGCAACATCTGGATGTCGGGGCCTCCGGGGAAACCCACCCTCTGGGAGGGGGAAGGGAAGCAGCAGGCCTGAGCGGCGGCGGCCGCCCAGCCGGGTCTTCTGAGCGTTTGTCGGGCTGGGAGAGCCATGCGCCCTGTCCAGAGGCCCCAGCGCTGTTACCAAACACCAGGGCACTCGAGGGAGCAGGGCCAAGACTGCAGATGGAGGACACGTCCTACCGCGGGGAGGCTCGCCTCGGGAGGTTGCTCCTAATGCCGAGAACCTGATTACATGACGGCGTGGAGGGGGAAAGCCTCGTGCGGCACTCGGCCCCACGTGATAGCCAAGAAGAAATAATTCACGTCACTGAATTATCATCATCAAAAAAGAGCTACCAATGCCATTTTCCAAACCCAGGACCCCGTGAGGCAGTGTGCCTGGGCTGGGTGGGTGAGGGGCGTGGAAGGACACCCCTTTAGGAGATAGATCCGGGCAGCTCTCTGCCTCCCCGACTCTCTAGCTCCCCCAGCCCTGCAGGGGGTGGAGGGGGGAGGTCCTTAAGTCAGGAGCCCAAACCCCAGCGTGTTGACAAACAGGCTTAGACACAGAAAGACCCAGCTCGTTAGGAAGGAGTCATTAGGACTTGTTGACATGAAACCTATTATGCCAATTAACATTCCATTAACGGCCCAGGGCACCAAGGGGTTAATGCTGCCCAGTAATTGGGGTGGGGGTGGGGGTGGGATGCCGGGGTTGGGGGCTCAGGGCCTGAAGGATGAGAAAGCCTAATTGGGGACTCTCTGGCCAGCTGGCCCCTGCGGCATCTGCCCTAGCTGGGACCGTAGCTAGGAGGACCCAGCATCCTCCTAGAGCGGGAGAGGGAAGGAAGTCCGGGACCACTTCCCTTCAGCTCTCCCCTGTCCCACCGCATGGCCCCAGACCGACCAGGGCTCGAGGACAAGTTGGGGGTACTGCCACCTTCTCGGACTCTGAAAGTGGTGTTTTCTCCACCCACTGTCCACCCTCCATCCCCTGCTGGTCCAGTTTCTTATGCCCAAAGAAGTAAGTCCTCTCTCCTTTCTGCTAGATGACTCATTCTTACCAAACTCATTGGAAAAGCTACCGTCCTTGAGGCCATGGAGTCTAATTCATCTGAAGAATATAGTTTAGCGCCGAAACCGGTGTGGCTCAGTGGTAGAGCGTCGGTCTGCGGACTGAAAGGTCCCAGGTTTGATTCCGGTCAAGGGCATGTACATTGGTTGCGGGCACATCCCCGGTAGGGGGTGTGCAAGAGGCAGCTGGTCGATGTTTCTCTCTCATCGACGTTTCTAGCTCTCTATCCCTCTCTCCTCCTCTCTGTAAAAAATCAATAATATATATATTAAAAAAAAAAGAATATAGTTTAGGGCAGAGGGACGGGGCAGGGAACAGTGGGCCTAGGCCACCTGACTTCCCTCCCTCCCCCCTTTCCTGCTTTCCTTCCCCCTCTTCCTTTCCTCTCTTCCTCCCTCCCTCCCTCCCTCCCTCCCTTTTTTCTTGCCTTCCCTTCCAGCATGGCACTAGGAGGCACTGCCCAGGGCCCCAGAGAAGCCCTTCTCTTCTGCCCTCCGATCCACCAGCCGTGTTTTCATTATTCTCCTTCCCTCCCTACATGTAGAGGTTGTAGAAGTCCCATTTCCTGTCTGGGCCTCAGTTTCCTCACCTGTGAACTCTCATGATCGGGGCCTGTGCTTAGGGTCAGAATGTCTGGATCCACACCCAGCTCCCCCATTTCCTTATGGCCTGTACAGGTCAATCTCCCTCTCGGACTGCAAAGTGAGGGATCTCACCAGAGTGTTCTGGAAGTCTTTGCCCACGGTCAGCCCTGAATGCAAGGTTAGCTGAATGGAATGGGAGACTGTTGGTTTGCAGCTTGAAAGTGAGAGAAGGAGGCCCCTGAGGCAGGGGAGCTGGAGCCCTCTCAGCCCCCAGGTGGGGTACCACTGCTCCCCCACTTCCCAACCCCCACCCTGCGGCTGGCCCCTGGACCAGCTGCCCAGGCTGGGTTCTGACGTCTAGACAGATTTGCAGGAGGCTGAAATAACACAATGAACTCAGCAGGAGGGCCCAAAAGGCTGCATTAGTAACCAGGTTGGCTTCAGCTTCTCCCTCCGGAGTAACTGCCTCAACCTGGCGCAGTCGGTTTATTTTTTTCCTTCAGCCCAGAGAGCTTGGTCCAGAAGGATGGTCTCCGGCCCTGGCCCTTCCCATGGGCGGCCTGTAGGTGGCGCCGCGGAGCCCACTTTAATTGCAT